AAAAAAAAAAAAAAATGGAAATCATTTATTTCATTAAGTTGTGACTAATGCATTAAATATAAAGTTTTGTACGTTAGAATTGTATTCTTTTTTTGGTGGTCATTGTAAGGAATTGTTTGAAGTTTATGGAAGCAATTTTGACAATAGGAAATGAGCTAGGGTCCCACATCAGTAATTGCTGTCAGCTGGAGAAAAAAAAAAATTGTACGTGATTTTTGTAGAGAAAATGAGGTACAACATGGATATAATTAACACGGTCAAACGGGCCGGTGGCCCGCGGGCTGGCCCGTCTGCCTGCTTAAACGGACGGGCTTGGGTCTTTGCTTGGCCAGTCCGTTCAATCGCGGGCCTAATTGGCCCACCCTGTTTGGCCCGCGGAGGGCGGGTTGGCCCATTTTTTTTTAATTTTATATTATTTAAATTTAATATTTTTTTATTTTACTTCTAATTTCTAACTTGCACATGAAACATTTTTTTTTACATAATAATAAAATTAATAAATCAAATAATATTTTATGTCAATTAAGTCGTTTCTGCGCGTGAATACCCTATTATATTGATAAAAAAAATAAAAATAAAAACTAGATGACAAATATTTAATATCATTACACATGAAACCTTATTAGTTTATTAATATACTAATAAATATAAGGATAAACAAACCAAAAAATATATAAAAGTGCGAATACAATAAAAAAATAAATAAATATAACCCGCGGGCAGGCCACGGGCTATGGATTCTCCAACTCGTAGAAATGCGGGCCATTTTGGTCCGCCCCGTTTGAACCGCGGGCCAGCACGGGCCGGATAGGGCCGGGCCGGACCGGCCTGTTTGACCGTGCTAGATATAATGTATATTATAAATATTATTTAAGTAAATAATCCTTGTGGTGATTTCATAAAATTATTTTTTCTAAACTTACAATAATTGTTAAGTTGCTTCTAAAAGTTATCAAGTTTAATAATTTACAATATATATAAGTACTATTGATAATTAACTAACACATTGCTGCTAGACATGGCCACGGGTTGGCCCGGCCCGTAAACCGACACCAGACCGGCCCGTAAACCGACCCCGGACCGGCCCACCCTAGCCAGTTTTTGAACCGGCCCATAACATCTTAAGGGTATTATGGGTCATGTTGTACTTCTTTTTTACTCGCCGGACAAGGCCAGTTTTGGGCCGGGCCTGGGTTTTCGTGAAATTTTTTTTTACTTTTTTTTTTATAAACCAGCGGTTCAGGACAGGTTCAATGAACGAGCCTTTAGATATAGCCGGGCCAGTTACGGGCCCATCATTTGAGGCCCGCCAACCCACCGGCCCGGGCTGGTTCTAATTGCTGCACATAAATGTTTTGCAACATATATACACAATAATGACACCAGACAAGCACAAATAATATTGCCGAACAACAATATGTCAGTTTAAAAAAATTATCATAAATTCAGAATTGTACTAATTCTCATGTGACACAGTAAATATATTAAAGTATACAGGCTCGCTCATCTGCCCACGGTGGGCAGTGCCCATTAGTTTGTTTTATATAAAAAACGTATTCTGAGAATACATTTTTCATTTAAATTTAATTGAAAAACGTATTCTCTCAGAATACGTTTTTCATATAAAACAAACTAGTGGGCACTAACCTCATTTAATTGAAAAACGTATTCTCAGAATACATTTTTCATATAAAACAAACTAATGGACAGACACTGACCACCGTAGTAGGGGAATATAATTTTTAAAGTATATTGTGACAGATATATAAGAGTCCCTAGCCCTAGGGCCATAGTTAAAATACGAGAAAATAGAGGTCACGCGAGCTTGGTCTTTATATATCTGACAAAACACTCGGCCCAGGAGCTAGCCTTATAGCTACCACCCTCAACCTTCAAATCAATCACCATTTTATAATTAACTTATAGTAGCTCATGAAAAAAAGAGGAAATTTATTCAACGGTGTACATGAATTTTTCACCCAGAATTTATTACAAGCTGTTGACAAGTGTAGTGTGCTTGCCTCATAATTCGCACAATCAATTATCACTTGGAATGTGAAGAGACCATGGCTCAACAAGTGTCCACTATGGTGAGTGATTTTTGAAAGAAGTGTCTCATGTACAATTTCAAACATCCCAATTTTTTTTTTTTTTACGAAACGATAGATTTTATAGATAGATACATACTTACGATGAAAAACATTTAGAATGAGTCGAACGGTCAATTAGCCGACTCCGGTAGAAGCCTACACAAAACAGACATCAGAACTATACTAATTATTAGAACCGAGGGAGGAGAGTGTGGTCCCACCAGATGAAGCGCACCATAAGAGGGTGTGCCTAGATGCACCTTATGTATTCATCTCAAAACCAATTGGTGATGGGATGAGTAGCCCATGGACTCATTTACCCTATATAATCAATGTGAGACAATTCAGAAGTGATATTGATATTCCAACACTAAACATGTGTCGTGGACGGAGGTGAGTGTCTGAGGTTGAGAGCCTGCATGAGTTTTTTTTTAAACATGTGACTGCGTGAGAAAGTTGAGCTTGACAGACGAAAGAGAACTTCTCAAGATAAGGAAATTAGAATTTTAGTTTGTGTTAATTGTAAATTAATTTTTTTAATTGTTAATTACTATTATTACTTTATAAATAGCCAAACGGGCCAAGCCCCAAAGGCACAAAGTGCAAAGCAAAGCTTGTGTACCCTACGCTAAAGCCCTACAGTACAATACCAATAAATTGCATATTAATACATTCGGTGCGGTTCGGTTAAAACCGCACCATTCGGATACAAAACCAAACCGTCCCAAACTATTTGCGGTTTTTCAAATTTTTAACCGCACTGCAAACCGAACTTTAAAAAAACCGAACCGAACCGTACCGAACTCATTGGTTCGGCTCGGTTTTTCGGTTTTGCTCACCCCTAGCCATATCATCTAGTCCTATTATTATTATTAATATTATTATTATTATTATTATTTGTTTGTTTGTTTGTTTGTATTGGTGACAATTATTTTGCACAAAAGTTTAAAATCATATTACACTAGATTTTCTTCCCAATATTTGATGCTCTTAATGAAGTAGAGTGAGTAGGAAAAATAATGTTAATATCACGAGGGTATATAAGTCATAATACATTTATATATTTTTCCCTCCACATATCCTTACTTTGAAAGGTTAGGAATAATGAGGAAGGAGGGAATTTAGTTCTACCTCTTTCTATTTTTCCCACCCTAAGAGCATCCACAATGCTTTGGGTTCAATCAAAAAAAATTGAATGCCACATCGGAAATAGACTCGGTCTAAAAAAATATGTTCTCCAATGCAAGTGTAAGTGGACTAGGTTTTGCTGATGTGGCAGCAAGAAAAGGAGACCCGGTCTAACCATAAGTCCATTTTAGACCCAAGTAAAGACCTAGTCTCCTTGCATTGGAGTAGATTTTGTTAATTTTTATATATTTTTGTCCATGTCATCTAAGATTTAAGTTCATTTACATTCCACATAGACAAAACTAGACCTAAAGCATTGTAGGTGCTCTAACAAGACAGGTTTAAAAAAAAAAAACCCCTTTCTTCAATTGAATTTCTTCAAATCTAATTAAATATTGCAGTAGGATTGTAAGCGAGTTAAGTCGAACTCAAAAATTCAATATTTGATTTTAACTCGTTACCAAAACCAGCTGATAACTAATCTCGAATTTAACACGTTTTATCAATATTAACGAGTTGAAGTCAATCCTTAACAACAAGATCTAACCCAGGAGCTCGAGAAATTGCACAAACCTCGATTCTCAAGCCTAACGAGCGGTCTGACTTGTTAACTAAATGAGGTTAAACTAGAATCGTTTTGAAATCAACTTACGTTTTAACGATTCGAACCGAACCGAGACGAGCCGACGAGTGACTCATTTGCTCTAAATTTCACTAAGCAAAGGTGATCTTTTGTCCAAATTTGGGATTTTTTTTTTTGCAAGGTAATAAGCTACTTAATTTCATGATTGGCTTCATAACCAATTCATAAGTGTCAATAATTATTGCCACGCAACTTTGCCTCTATAAAAGCTACACGCACACCTCTGCCCTCACATTTCCCCTTTATCCCAATCTCATAATATCTTTTATCCCTTTCTTATCTTTCTTTTTCTTCCCTTTTA